TAGCACAAGCCAAATCGGGCCAAAAAGGTCTTCCTGTGAGCACTTTTGTTCCAGCCAGATCCAGACAGAGAGTGTGTGCTCGTTCCCAAAGAGCACTGGATGTAATAAGCAAAGGTAGATGGCTGTGGCCAGGGCGAGGAGGAGATGGAGCAGTGCTGAGGCCGCCTGTGAGCGAGCCCTCAGAGCCAACTGGAGAGCTGGGTAAACGAACACATTTCCTCCTCCTTTTCTTTTGAAAAAAAAAAAAAGTCTGCTTTTGATTTTTCTTTTACACCTGAAACATGCTGGTTCAGGAAGAAAACAGCTTCGCTGCCTCGTCCCATAGGGCAGGGCTGTGCCTGTGTTTCTATCACATTGAGCAAGGAGACCCTGGATTGGTGTCCTGAGGCTGCCAGGGAGGCTCTATGTGAGATATCCACCTTGAGAGCACGGAGCAGTGGAGGGGTTGAGGGAGGCCACGGTGGAGCACGGCATTCAGTGTGGGGCCTGGTGGAGTGACAGGTGACTAATTCTAAGGTGACAACTGCAACTGATCTGATTCTATTTCTATTTTCTCCGCAGAGCTGGCTCTATGTGCCTGCCCACAGAGTCCCAAACCTGAGCCCATAGAAAGAAGGAAAATGAAGCTGTGTGGAAATAGGCTGTGCACATCCGGGGAAGTCACCACAGGCTTCCACGAATTTGGAGAGCAGTAGTTTGCACAGTGGCACTGGGAGGCAGCGGGGCCTGAACACTGCAGGTGCACAGCAGGAAGGCACTTGCTGCCCACGGTGACCCCACAGAACGTTCTGAGGGCCTGCTTGGTGAAGATCCCCAGGGCCAAAGAGAGTTTATTATCTCTTTACCATTAAGAAATACTTTAATTTTCTGCCTAGTAAGGAACCCAACCCCCCAGCAGCTGTCGTTTCTTGTGGATTACAAATCCTGGTCTTTAACTGGCCAAAGCCATGGCCTCCTCTTGACCTCCTGGCTACTTGTCATTCCAAAGTCAACATCAGCATCTCAAGAGCTGCTCAGCATGCAAGGTGGGCATCGATCATCAGCCAATGACAGGATGAAGGGGTGGGGTCTCCTCTACTAACTGCATTCTTGGTAGGGCAAATCCAAAACTCTGCTTCTTGGTGTTTAGAACATTATGCCAGATAATGTCAAGAGAGCCCACCACTCTGACAGGGAGCAGATCTGAGCCACACCCAAGCCTGTAGCCTCAGGAGGGCTAGTCTCCCAGAAGCTAGGAGGAAGCACAGTGAAAAAAACTCAGCCTTCCCTAAGCCCATTTTTCCTTCCTTCATGGCTGTCAAAACACATGAGAAGAAACAGGACCAGGTTCAAGGTCAACACCTGGGACTTCAGAGATGCCTAACAATTTCTATGCAGTTCATGGTTGCTGGAGGAGGGAGAGACATCATCAGGGATGTGTAGGCACTGGCAATGTGCTGATGCTCCTGTAAATTACTTCTATAAGCAATCCTAATGAAACTCATGGAGTAGCAACAGCAATGAAGGACCTCGCGGTGGAAGTGGGGCTAGCTGAGCGAGCTGGGAAGAAGGGGCTCAGGAATGTGTGTGGGAAAGTGCTGGGAAAGAACGTGTTCAGAATACATCTTACACATGTATAAAACATAAGCTCATTATCATATAATCAAAATATACTAATAAGGCATTAAAAATAAAAGCACAAAGGTCAGAGTCAGCATTTAAAATGTAAGAAAAAATACTATAATTATTTCAAAAAGATTTTAACAAAATGAAGACATAATTTTTTCCCAACAACGTGGGAAAGACAAGAAGATCCATCAGTTTGAATGATCTCTGGCCCGCTCGGGCTAGAGCTTAAAGCTTTGGGGTTCCATCTACTCTAGCCAGTGGTTCCACCACAAAAGGAACACTGGGGGCAGGCGGGGGAGGGGAGCTTGTGCAAGCAGCAATTCTTCATCAGTCAGGAAGGAAACATCTCACTGCCAGCTGACCCCTCCAAGCCCTGCTCGGCAGAGCGAGCGTCCCTCCTGGATTTTTGCTGCTTTTCTAGAACTGGGGACTGAATCCAGGGCCACGCGCACTGGACCACACGCTCTACCACTGACCTACCTTTCCAGTCCTCTTGTCATCCTAAATGGTGCCAAAAAATGTCACGGGAAATTGGAGCCATTTCCCTGGAGAAACTTTCATCTGAAAACATTTCCAGGGAGGGAAGGAAGCGCATTTCACCTCTCCTCTGGATCCTGGGACTAGAGAGGCCCTGGACTCCCCGTCATCCAGCAGAGCAGAGTGGTCCTGCAAGTCACCCCTCTCTGCAGGTCCCTTTGCCTCTCCTGCCTCCCTCTCTCATGGGCCAACAAAGTTTCCTGTCTGGTGTGAGTCTGGCTGTCTGGCCCACAAGGGCAGGTGACAAATGTATCTGTTAGAGTGTGATTTCTGAGAAGGAACACAGATCAGTTAGAATGAATCATGGACAATTTTCTCTGTTCCAACAGCCTTAACATTTTAGTACTGAGATCATCGGATATGCATGTCACAGAATAATTGAGTCTCAGGACTGGAAGTATCTTGACAATTTCAGCCCAACCTCTATACCTTACAATCGCGATTGTTAAGCGAGGGAAGTACAGACGGACCAAGTCACGTGACAGAGCTCGCAGAGACAGGTCCAGGCAGCGGGAGATGAAAACGCCTAGGTATGACCGAACAAGTCTCTTCCCTCCATCCTTTGGGTTCCTAGGCTGCCTCGGAGACGGCACAAAGACAAAGGAGGACAGGATAGCTCCTGCAGGGTCCATGTTGCAGGCATCATCAGGCCCGAGGTACCCCAGAGCCAAGACTTAGTTCGTTCATTACAGACGGCTGTGGTCAGGTTCCACACACAGTACCCCTCAGGGATCCTGAGCACACTCCACCGGTACGCAAAGCGCATGAGCTGGTACAGGCTCTGTGTGCACCGAGAGGGCACGGCACATGCGTGGCCCTGATAGCTCTACCTCTCTACCAGGGAATCCTGTCCTGCAGTTCTGCTCGGAGGAGTCGAGCTGGGGCCCCACGTGAAACTGTCAGCTACCTCCCGGAGTAGCTTGCTGTGTCTTTTTCCTAGTAGAACGCCACATTTCTACTCTGGGTAAAGAATCATTTGGAGAAGCTGTTTAGCTAGGTGTGGCGGTACATATCTGTAACCTCAATACTCAGGAAGCTGAGGCAGGGGGATTATGAGTCTGAGGGCAGCTGTAGCTATAAGATAGAGGCCAAATTGGTGTGTATAGTAAGATTGTCTCAAAACTCAACAACAAAAAGAAAGAAGAGAAGCAGTGGGAAGAGGAGGAAAGGGAAAGAGGCCTATCCTTCATCTAAGCAGAAAACAGAGACCGCTGGGAGGCTCCAGGCTTTCCTTTAAGGTGAAGGAGGGTTTCTCTCTCCATTCCTGTTGACACTGGGCAGCTCAGAAAGGGGAGGAATCAAGGGGTCCTAAGAGAATCAGGTTGAAAAGAGGTCACTTTGCACTTGATTATAACAATGCACAGCCTACTTCTGTCTGCTCACAGGCTGCTTAGGAGTGTGCAGAGCCCAGTGTCACACTTTCATTCAAATTCAGGTTGAGTTTCTCCATCTCTTTAGTCTTCCTTTCCAGCCACTGCATGGGGCTGACCTGAAGGAAGGAAGCAGAACTCTTGACAGTCCGGAGGCAGGAAGCCGGAGCTTTTCAAGGCCGCCAGCCCCTGCATGGCTTGGGAAACCTTGATCAGAAGTTAGAGGGAGAGGGCTGCTGTCAGCATAAGCCTCAGGTCATGTAGGAGTGAGGCCAGGATCCCAGGGAGGGAGCTAAGTTCTTATGAGCCACTAATCTCTTTAAGGAACTTATCTATGAGAATGAAATATTGTACTGGTTAAGATTTTAAAGAATATTTTATTACATTTTATATGTTTGTATTTGTGTATATGCGTGGAATCAGGCATGCCATGGTGTGTGTAGAGGCCAGAGAACAACCCCTGGTTCTCTCCTGCCACTACGTGGGTCCCAAGAATCTAGCTCAAGTCAGCAGGCTTGACCGGAAGCACCTTTCCCCTCTGAGCATCTCGTGGGCAGACACTTGGTTAAGGTTTTAACAGATAATTCCTTCTTGCTAATGATGGAGTACAGAGGGAATGAATTAGGTCATGGATAAAGCTGTATTTGTTTGATATTATCATTATACAAATCCCTTGCCTTGTTGGCTGCAGGAGCACACAAATGCTACCTCCACCTGGTGGCAGGGTATGCAAATACAGTAGGTAGATAGACCTTTAGATGTGAGAGTCTGCAAAACTGAACCCTAGGAGAGATGGCATGTCACAGCTTGTGGGTCACAAACTGAGGGGTGCTAGCATCCAGAAGTAGTGGCAGCCCAAGTAACACATTTGCCTGCTACTGGAGGGCACCTTCTTATTGGCCACAAGGAGCAGCTTTTCTCTTCTCCCCTTGAGTCCATTTCACTACTGAAAATGGTTACAACAAAGAGTAGGGATCGCTATCATTAGAACAGAAGCAATTCAGGTCCTTAAGATGTCCCTGTGGGATGGGGGAGATAGTTCAGTTGGTAAAGTACTTACAATGAAGACCTGAGTTCAAACCCCAGAACACACACAAACAAAGCTGGGCGTGGTGGTGTGTGCTTGTGATCCCTGTCCTGGAGAGGTGGAGACAGATGGATCTCGGGCTTCCTAAGCAGCCAGCCCGGCCTACTGGAAAGTTCCAGGTCTCTCAGTGAGAGAACTTGTCTTAAGAGCCAGCGAACAGTGCTTAAGAAATGATACCTCTGGCTTCTGTACGCACATGTGCATATGCACACTTGCACATATATGCCCCATATGGAACACACACGCACACACACACACACACACACACACACACACACAGTGACAGCTAGAATGAGAGAGAGAGACACAGTGCAACATCGAGGAGCAGGACCAGGGTGACAACCCTGCAGGAACTCAGGACATTCATCCCTCCTCCAAGATGGCACCCAGCTACTTACCCAGATTGTACCACATGTCTCTGATCTCGAAGCCAATCTGCCTCCTCATGTCTCCATACCTGGAACCAGGGAAGGAAAGATGCGGCGTCACTCCGCAGAACCTCTGGAGATCCAACTCCAGTTCCCATCATGGATTCAGATGAAGACCCTGCTGGAACTCCAGATTCACCTACCACCAGCAGGGAATGCCCCAGCCAGGAACTGGGCTCATCATTCCCAATGACATCACATCCCCAATGACATCACACCCCTGTAGGAGCGCAGGGAAGCTGTGGAGAACAGCCAAAGGGATTTACTTTCTTTGGCCTCATGGCTCCGGGGGCTAAGGGAGTTTGTTCTCCACGCGTACCCTTGGTGTGTCTCGGTCCCCAAGCACATCCTCTGCACAATAGCAACTTTCTTAGATGAACATGAAGCCCTGGAGTCAGGGAAGGTTTCTTCCAAATCGCCCATTCTTCTCTATCTCTTTAAATGTAAGCAAGAGCTTAACACCCAAATATGTCAACAAACATTCCACTGGTTTTTGTTTATCAGAGCAAATGAATGCTAATTTTTCTCCTGGTGGGCGAAGAGAGGAGGTGTGCATTTCATGAGTAAACAGAATTTGATGCTTCAGAAGATAAACCTTTATTAGTTTGTGAGCAATTTAACTTTTTTCTTTTACTGCCTAAGGAAAAAGCTGATTATATTAAAAATAATAATTTGCGAAATTATCATAGAGCGCGGCAGCTCGGCAGATGTGCCATCGAGTTCCATCCATTGGTCCCCGTGGCAGCTGATGTGCCGGGAAAGCTGATCTCAGATGATGGCATTGTGACTCTCCCGGTGAACACCCCACAACCCAGAGGCTAAGCCAATACCCCCCGGCCTGCTGCCACCTTATTAAAGTCTCCTGTGCCCTAGGCACCTGCCTATCACTCACAGCAGGAGGGTTAGAGTGGCCTGTTTATCTCACGCATGGAGAACAAATATGAGCCAAATACTGTATGCTTTTTCTCGTATGTGGAATCTAGCTCAAATACGCATATACATACACATATACGCTATGTAAATATGGATGCATATACACACACATGTACTTCTCTCAGTACATATAGGTAAAATACGGAGATAAGAGGCTACGGGAGGAGAGGATGACATGTAAAGGGAGGAGGGCGCAAGAATGGGTGACGGGAATGGATATAAAAACAGGGGTGGAGACCGAACTGGGAAGAGGAAGACCAGTAAAAGGCAGGTTGGGAGGAGAGTGGGAAGGGGTATTAGAAAGCATAATGACATGTATGTATAAACATGCCATAATGATATCTATCTCCCCTGGCACTGTGCCATGGTGTGTGGGACTCTCAGGTGCAGGGGGAGAAACAGAACTTGGAGAGTAAGTTATGTTCTCCCTGGACAATCTGCATGCCCAGCCCAGCAAGCTGGTGAGCGCTGACACAGGTATTCTTGGGAACCGGGGGATCTCAGCCAGCAGTTGCTTCATTCGCCACAGTGAGGAGAGAGCAGGTAGCAAAGTCACTGGGCCTGAGGCCAGGGGTGGCAGGGAGGTGCCCTCCCATGGATGAGTCTCCCTCCAAACTGCCCAAGGGTTTTAAGGTGAACTGGTGAAGCTGTGTAGTCTCTTGAAGTCTCTCAGTAGCCAGTGCAAACTGGATCCAGATAGGATGTGAGTAGCAGCACTCAGACCTGGCACCTTGGCATCCTTTGGCAGTTATCAGGGAAGAGGATTCACACCCAGGCCCAGCCCTGACTTTTCCTCTGAATTTAGAAAAGAAATCACCTTTTAGCTACAAAGGCCTCAGACAACCCTGGGACACAGCATCACGACTGGGGATGTAGAACACAAATGTCTTTAGCCCTCTAGCCCCTGTGACCATGTGTTCATATCCTCCACCCACCAATGACACCACCGGTGCAAGTGGAAACTGGGAACACTGGGGTTGATGGATCAGTTATTAACTCTAGCTATTGGGAGATTCTTGGTCATGGTGGAGTAGAGTCTCTCAGAACACAAGAATGTCTAACACAAGGCTGACCGTCACTGGTATCTCCACCTCCCTGCCCCAGGACTCAACAGTTTCTCTTGGGTCCTCTAATGATTATAATTCTAATGATTCAAAAGAAGCCCTGAGATTAGTTTTGCCAGCAGCAGATCTAACATTTGAGACCTAGATGGCTCAGGAGGAACCCAGGGTGGTGACATGCCATTTCTCCACTGCTGGTATGGAAATCAGGGGTGCTGGGAGGCAGACTCTCTACTGCTTTGCTGAAGGACGTTGGGAGCTGGGAATTTCCACCCTTGCTTCTGCTTTCCTGCTTCAGGTGAGAAATGACTTGCTTTGAAATATTTGAGAACGGGGGGATTGGCAGAGATCAGAGAGGATGATCTCATGAGAGGCAGGACTGGTGCATAACAGTCAAATAAGGCCAGGTGCCTATCCCTGGAAACCCAGGCAAGGAAGGAGTTAGATGGTGAAGGGAGGGTCTGAGCTCCCTGGCAGTGGGACGACCCTTCCTTTGCTTTTAGTAAGAATGCAGCTCCAAAGACTCTATGTGAACCTCCAATAATCCCCAAGAAGAGCCGCAGCTGTCATGAGACCTCAAGAGAGCTTGCAAAACACTTCTACCTTCTTCCCATGGCGGAGAAAAACTGATGATTATCCAAAGTGTCTGGCTGAAGCTGGTTTCCTGGAGGAAGATCTCAGAGCTGGGGCAAGGCTGGACATGACAGTTAAGTGTCTCTCTAACTGTGCATAGTCAGGGAGCTGGACTAAGCCTGGAGGGGAGCCGGGGTGACCTGGCCACGGTTGCAGGGCAAGGAGAGAAGACAGTCCAAGTCCTCAGACCACAGACAGACATTCTTCTTGGCACCGTACACACTCCTGAGCCTGGCAAGCCTGGTTCTCACCATCTCATCTTCCCAAATACTTTCATCGGATGCAGATGGTGTCTTATCACAGGTCCAGTGAAGAACTTGGGACTCATGTTTCTGGGCAAACACTCCTGGCTCCACCAAGTCGCAAGGCACAGAGCTGCTGTCTGCTGGTTCCTGTGTGCCCACTTACCAAGTGGCTCAGGAGGGAGCCCTTCCCCAACCTGGAGAGCCTTAGGATCCTACATCCAGGCTCAAAGCCTCACCTGGTTTCTGCATCTTTAACCCAAGAATAGAAACCTTTGTCCAACACACCTAGCCCAGGCAGAGGGTGAGGTCAACCAAAGCCCAGATCTGAGTTCATCTGGGCAAACCCCTGGCCCCTCTGACCCTCACTCTCTCCCACAGTTGGTGAAATGACTCACGGATATCATCTTGGGGCTTTTCTGAAGGGTGAGCCCCTCTGTCTCAGCTAGCACTGGAGTGAAGAGACGCCTTCCTATAAAATTTCAGGCTGGTTTTAACCACAGTACCCCACTCAAGATGGCAATGTTCATGGGACTGCTCACGTAGTTAGAACTTACTATGAAGCTTGGACAAGACCCACAGACCTAGGAGACCTAAGAATGACAGGAGAGACAAATTTCAATCCCATAGTCACACAGGGTGTTACTGTATCATGTATGTTTAACACCTGCTGGTAAGACCTAACTTGGAAAAAAGGTCTATGCAATGTAGCCTAGTGAGTTAGGCCCTAGGAGTGGTACCCTATAAGGAAGGGGACATTGATAGTCACAGACACACAGACAAGAACACATTATAAAGACAGGAGGAGATGGGAGCTGTAACACATGCTGAGGAATGCTGAGCACTGGAGACAGCCAGCTGAAGTTGAAGGAGGGGCTTAGGATAGTTTCTCCCCTGGGGCCACTCTGCCGCCATCTTGATTTCAGACCTGTGGCCTCCAAGACAGCTAGAGTAGAGAATGCTGTGATTTCTTTGTGGTCACTTTTTTTTAATTAAAAAATTAATATTTTATTATTTTTATGTGTATGAGTGTATTGCCTGCATGTAAGTGCACCCATGTCACGCAATGCCAGCGGAGGTTAGAAGAAGGGGTCAGAGTCCCTGGAACTGGAGTTAGGACAGTTGTTAGCTGCCATGTGGGTACAGGGAATCAAACCTGAGTCCTCTGTAAGAGCAGTCAGTGCTTTAAATCACTGAGCCATCTCTCCAGTCCCCCATGTGCTCACTTTTATAGCCACTGAAGCTAGAGATCAATGCAGTGATACATCTACTTAGCACTGGGGCTCAATGAACAGGATCTACAGAACGCTTTCTTAAGGAAAGAATAAAACAAAACCAGAATAAGGCTGAGATGGGAGGAGCTGTGGCCCTTCATTGTAGGTGGAGTCTGAGCCAAGAAGGAACAGACTGAAGAGCTAGAAGCAAACCTAGAAAGGGGTTCAAGAGGTGCAGAAAGCCGGGAGGTCTCTTCATCTCAGAAGACAGAAGACAGAGCACTGTCATTTGGATGTAGAGTGTCCCCCAAAGGTTCATGCACTGCAACTTTGGTCTCCAAGGTGAGAGGACAGAGAAATGGAGGACAATTAAGAGATCTAGGGTTGTGATTATGTCAGAATACCACCTCAGGGATGGAGTAGTGAATATCAAGAGGCCGGGTTGGTTTTCTCAAGATTGGATCAGGTCTTGAGGGGGGTGGTGAGTTAGATCTCTTGGGAGTTAGATCTCATGGGATAGAGTTAGGTCTTCTAGAATGGATTAGTCATGGAGAGGGTGGGATTTTACAGAGCCAGGTCGCCTCTGTTTCGCTCTGTCATGAATACCCACTTTGAACTCTTACTTCATCGCCATGCTGATATGTAGCACAAAACCCTCAGCACAAACTGAGAGGGGGCTGGCCCCATGCTCCTGAATTCCCACCTCCAAGATGAGCCAGTGGCAATCTCTTTTCTTTACAAAGCACTCAAACTCTGTACCAGGGACCGAGACACAGAGGTAAAGAACAACAGTGTTAAAGGAATCAGGGAGAGCAATCAGGAGCACTGAAGGCCCAATCCAGATTGAGTGCCTTGCGCCTGGTCAGAGCTCCTGGGGGAATTCAGGGCTTGTGACCAGAGTGCCAAGGGCTGGAAGGTGAGGGAATGATAGGCATTAAGAGAAGATAACCAAAGAGAGGGCAAGGAGCAGGGTGAGGCATCTCTGTCTCAATGAAAACAACAGCAGCAGGAATTGGAAGGGGGTGTAACACTGGGAATAAGCCTGACATGAGCATTCTGCCTGCGTTAAGCTTTAATACAGTCCCCAGAGCAGTGCATCACCAATGTACGTGGGACACCTAATTAGCTTTGCCAATATGAAGGTGGCACAGGCCTACCGTTCATAAAGCTTATCTCTCTAGGTCCTCTCTTATCCTTCAAGTGAATTGATTTGGAACAATTTGAATCTTTCAAAAATAATAATTAGCATGAGAAAAAAATTGAATTGGTCATATTCTGTAATACAGAATCATGCCTTCTGATTAGGCCACTTGCCATCGGGTCAAACAAGGCTTTTTACAGCACATTTATTTCCTTGTAGCCTCCTTCACAATCCCATCTACAGCTCGACGCAATACCCGGGCATCTCAGGAGCCAGTGTCTGGGGAGGTGGAGATAATTTTTGTTTATGTGATCTTTTGGTCCAGCTATGAAACGGGTCTTCTAATGAAGTTTTAGATGAAGAGGTGAGAGAGCTGTGGGGATGGGCATCCAACTTTATCTGCTGTCGCAATGTCACTGTAAGTGAGCATCTCTGGTGATGAACCCTTTCTCTCCCAGAAAGCAGGTGGGTCCTGAGCACAGAGGTTTTTTATTATGAACTTTGATTCCCAGGGGCTCCTTATTTAGGGATTCATTGCTCTCGGCGATATCCTAGAGTAGCTGACAGGCCACATGGGAACAATCCTAAGGCTATGACTGGGTAGACTTGTGCCTACCTCAGACCCAAGGCTTTCCCCTAGACCTAGGTAAGCACATGCATCATGCCTCAAGTGTTCAAAGTAGGCAACCAGCCACTGGCTCAGACCCCTGGGGCTACCTTCATGCCACTTCCCTACACGTGCTGCCTGAACCCCCCAGCCCCACCACTCCCTTGTGTTTCCATAATCCAGAGCATCTCTTGCTAGACTGGGCCTTTGAGGTACAATGCCAGTCAAGCTGCAGACCCCCCAGCTTTTTTCTTCTCCTTGTCTGAAGTCCATACTACGAGGAGGCCTCTGCTCCAGAGACTGTGTCCTGCAGACCTGTCTCCCTGCTGTCTAGGTCCAGGTTACCGCCCTATTGTTTTCTGGACTCACTAGTTTCACTTTAGCTTTTCTACTAGAGAGTGAACATCTTCATCTTGGGACCTGCTTCTCTTCTCTGTCCCCAGCATCAGGACCACACCTACCTGAGCATAGAACAGGCTCAATCCCGTTCTAGATAAGCTAAAACAAATCTTTTCCAAGCACTTAATGTACCCAGAAAATTAAATAGTTTGGGTAGGACACCCTAAGCTATTCTGTGGGCCATTGCTATTTAGGAATAAATAAATGTTTGGAAATAAAGGATCTAAGGTCTATGAAGAGGTAACAACATCACAAATACTGTGACCCTGCATGAAGCTGGTATCCCCCAGCCTCACAAATCCTGCTGGGTTTATACAAGAGCACAATGTACTGTACCCTGAATGGCCAATCATTGCCACACATAGAGTTTCTGGCCTAGCGAGGCCTGGATGTCGTCCCACAGAGTCTCCCAAAGGCAACTTCCAAAACATGCAGGCTTTTCTCATGAGAAATCCACAAGAAAACATGGAAGTGAAATGTCAGAGTCTCTTGTTACATATCAGAGAGACATGGAAAGGGAGCCACCAGCTGGCTGGGTTTAATTTTCTTTGGCTCTGTAGCCTTTGAATCTGTAAGTCCTCAGGAGAAGCATTTTCTCTGGAGACCAGGGTCCTGTGTGATTAAGGCAGCTGCTGATGCTGCTTCAGTTTGGCTGTTACCATACCAGTCTGAGGAAAGCCCAGCACAGAGCCACCACCCTGACCTCCACAGAACTCAGCATAAAAGCCTTAGAGGCAGCTTGTAGTTTAAAAGCATCTCTTCTGCTCCCATTGGCATCTTAAGGGTAGAAAGTGCAGGTGCTTCATAGATTCTGATGATAATCAGTGATGGGTTTGGATGCCAGGGCCACTCCTCAGCGACCATAGCACATGAGGACAAGGGTTCCCCTGCTGAAGATGAATTCTCCTTCAGAGGGACAAATGCTGGGGGGCCTGTGTCTCAAGGAGCTGAGGTAGCCCTGGTGAGCCGTGCTGAGAGGTGCTAAGGCTACTATTTCTAACAATGGTTTCTACCACCAAGCATCTGGACACGGACAGCAACAGTGCAGGTGCTCACCCCTCCCTTCCGGCCCTGTGAGCATCACAAAGTGGGTACTTCGTGTGGGATCAGTCCTCAGCACGAGCCCTGCAAAGGTCTGTCTGTACACTGGAGGCCATGGTCATCAATGAAGAACTGAGCAGGCTCCAACAGGGGGCCCTGTGCCAGCAGTCATGGTGGGTACCACCCTGCTACTACTGTGCTGGCCCTGGCAGTGCATCTCTCAGTTCTAAACAATGTCACTATGCACATTCATGGCTCTTGGGGTCATTCACCTGAGGGAGCCAAAGGGCAACTGGTCAGGTTCGAGATGACTGTCAGATAGGGACCTCAGAGAGGCACAGGTCTAAGGGTTGAAGGTCAAGTAGCAATGGGTTAGAGCCTTGGGCCCTGAGCTGCCTGGACTAGAATGTGTTGGCACTTGCTAGGTAAAGCAGTCACTTGAGTCCTCTGGGCTGTCTTGATCTTGTTCATATAGAGGATACAGATGATGCGAGGATCAGTGGATAGCTTTGAAGCACACACAGTGCTTAGACAGTTGTTGGCACACGCTACAAGCTCCGAACTCTACTTGCAGAAATACACTTAATCTTACACTTGAGGGATCGTGTGATCTCATTTTCTCAGCAAGGAAGACAGAAACTGATGGCCTGTGAGGTGGGCAGAGGGGCTGCTGCCTTCCGAGATACCTTCTGGACCCTGTAACCTTGGCAACTGGCAGGGACTTGGCAAAACTTGGGCACAGCATGAATACGGTGGAGGTGGAACAATATGACGACCCAGCAATATGGATGCCATCTCTGAAGAGTCCTTATGAAAGGGGCACCTGGAGTGGTGGGATGTTGGCGGAAGTGAGGCAGAGAGAGAAGGGGCAAGACCTCCAGACACCAGGACTTTGGAAGAAACCCAATGTGTGACACGTGTGTATGCGTGCATACGTGCATATCCACGTGAGTGTGGGTACACCTGTGCCATGGTGAGCACATGTGGCGGTCAGAGGACAGTCTTGGGTATTGACCCTTCTTTCCACTGTTTCTTAAGACAGGGGCTCTTGTTCACTGCGATGTATGTCTGCAGGCTTCTCCTGTGTTCATTTTGCATTTCACCATAGGAATTCTGGAATTACAGCTGTCCGCTACTGTGTCAGGTTTTAAGTGTGTTCTGGGGATTTGAACTCAGGTCCTCATGAGTGACCCTCTGAGCCATCTCCTCAGCCCACAACCTTCTTTCTCCACACTGGAACAGGATCACCCAGGAGGTGTGCTGGTGTGAGAAAAGATGAAGGTGCCCAAAGGATCTCGGCCTTTCCAGAGCTTACTGGCCTTCACCAGCACACAGGCTAACGTGATCCACCCAAACCACCTACCCAAGAGAAAACAGGGTCTTTGCTGCCAAGAGGGAACCCTGGGTGGTTCTGCTTCACCATTCTAGACCAGTCCCTGCAGTGCCAAAGGCTTTCACTGGAATCCTCTTTTGTAGAAATGGAACTGGAAAACTAAGCAATAAAGTAAACTGCATGTGTAATGATACCGAAAGAGTTCACAGCAAAGATCGTTACCTCCTGAAACTCAAATGCTGTGTATCGCTACAGCCTCCCATCCCACTAACATAGAACCTACCAGGACGAGTCCTGTAATTTTAGATCCTGATTCATGGGTTACGAAGGCAATACTGGATTCATGATTTAAAACCACCCCTTCATTACCCTGTGATTACATCTCAATTTGTACCCAGTTGGCTTAAGGATGACATGGAAATTATGCTAATAAGCCGAAGGCCGCTGCCCACAGAGGCAGAGCTGGAAGAAAACTTACTTGTTAAGGATTTTGGCTCTCTTAGCACTTGAAAAATTCTCCAGTTGCAGGGACTCCTGGGTGAGGAAAGCCACGGCCAGGTGGAAGTAGTTGTTCCAGAGCTGAAAACCAAAGGGCAGGAGATGGTAAGATGCTCAGTTGGGGAGCAGCTTAACGCTCAACCTCTGAAAGGCTCTGGGTATTTACCTCTGCTCAGCACACACTTCTGAAATGCCCGAGAACCCTCAGAGCTGAAAACCAGCTTCTAGAGTATGACTGAGGGCTGAGCGAGAGACTTGATTCACCAGAATGACTACTCCAATCTCTGCCTGAGCCTCAGTTTCTTCGCTGATATCACGGGTTTATCAGTACGTAGTTGCTAGCTTATAGGCCTCCTAGAAAGTGCAAGGAATTAATTCAGGCAGAAGACTTAGCTCTAGGCATGGTGCTGAGCACATGATAAGCACTGCATGACCTTAGTTCTTACTGCTATTTAAGTTTGGAGTCCTTCAATGAAGGACAGCATATATTTCCATAATTTATGATTTTTTTATTATACCAAAAATTATGCATACACTAGACAATTAGGGGAAAACCTGTAAAAAGACCACACACTTATTTCAAGGATTTATGGAATGTATATGATTCAAAAGACGATCCTTAGAAGACATTTGTAGATACCATTTTTCTCGTTTACAAACTATAGATAATATTCAAATGAGATTGCTGCAAAGAGTTGCATAAAAGGAGGTGTTAACATTATTGAGTTGGATTTTAATTACCCATGGAAGATGAGGAAATATAAGAGCATTCCCCGGATTTAGGAACATGTGGGGCCCGTTTATCTGGCTCTTCTTAGGAATTGCTGCAGACCTAACCGAGGACGTGCTGGTTGGAGGATGTTGAGTTGAGGCAGTGCTCAGAGTCGAGCACAGGTCCCCAGTCTCACAGCGTGCACTCCATTACTGCCTACAAAGTACCTTCTCTTTTGGCCTCTTCTACAGTAAGAGGTGGCTCCAGATCATGGACCACAAGTTGTTCCTGAACTAGCAGCACCCCGCCCCCATGGCCTTGCCACGGCATCAGTCACAGAACACTGCCAAGCACAACTTTGAGGGCCACAGGGCAGGTAACATGGGCCTGGAACCCATAGAACCATACACCTGGTATGTTTCCTGTTTGTTTTCCTTCCTTCCTTCCTTCCTTCCTTCCTTCCTTCCTTCCTTCCTTCCTTCCTTCCTTCCTTCCTTTCTTCCCCCTCCCTCCCTTCCTTCCTTCCTTCCTTCCTTCCCTCCTTCCTTCTTTAAAAGACAAGGTCTCCCTGTAGTCCCAGCTAGCCTGGAATTTGCTATGTAGACCAGGCTAGTCTCGATCTCACAGAGATCTCTGCCTGCCTTTGCCTCCCAAGAGTGAGAGTATGCCTCGCTTTTCTTTTGATTTTTAAAAAAATTATTTATTTATTTTTATTTTATGTGTATGGGTGCATTGCCTGCCATGCCTGTGCACCCATGTTGTGCAATACCTGTAGAGGTCAGAAGAGGGCATCAGATTCTTGGACTAGAGTTATGTATGGATGGTTGTTAGTTACCATGTAGGTGCTGGGATTTGAACTTGGGTCTTCTGCAAAATAAGCCAGTGCTCTTAACCACTGAGCCATCTCTCCAGCACCATTCTTTTGATTTTCTGAGACAAGGTCTTTTGTAGCCCAGGCTGGCCTCAATTGGCTATGCAGACAAAAATGACTTGAACTTCTGATCCCTCCTCCTGTACCTCCACCTCCATGTGCTGGAACTGCAGGTGTGCACCATCATGCCTGGCTTACCTAGTACCTTTAAAACCAACAACGGTAGGTGCCTAATTAGTGCAGTAGGTAGCACATCAGTCTCATAAAAGCAACAATGGTTTCCTTCTCCCTCTCTCCCTCCCTCCCTCCCTCCCTCTGCTCAGGCTGGCCTAGAACTTGAGATCCTCCTGCCTCGCTTCCTGAGAACTGGGATGACAGGTGGGCACCACCATACCTGGCTGAAGGCTTCATTTGAAAAGCCAGTGTCACTGACTCCTTACCCCTGTTCATTTATAGGATCAGGATGGCTGCGGGGGGCGGTCAGAAACATTTGTGGTTTGGCCTAGGCTCAGCACCCTTGCCTCGGGCAGAGTTCTAGAACCTAAGAGCACAGGGCCTTCAAGTTACTCAGTTTTAGGGTGAGACCCAAGGGACTTGTCGTCAGGGACAGTAACAAAGTAAAACGGGAACTGTTTTGCTCAGGAGAAAGGACCTTCGACTTTCCCCCAGTAGCATTCAGGACAGACAGAGGAATCCAGCCAGCAAGTCACACCCAGGCCAGAGCCCAATGAAAGACATAACAATGTCAGCACAGGATGGGAGAAATACACTGCGAAAGCCCCTCAAAAGCTCAGAAAAATTTCAGGTTTGCAAGTTCAACAGAATTCCAGTTAAAATCTGAGCTACGTTTTTTTTTTTTTTTTTTTAAAAAGAGAAGCTCAACCCGCTGATTTTAAGCTACACGTGGAAGAGGAGGACACACACAAGAGTCAGGGCAATTTTGCAATACAAAACACCTGTGAGATCTGGCCTGTGCTAGCTGGGTATGAGGCCGAACTGAAGCCACTGTGGTAAGAACACAGAAAACAGAATCTATACCTGTAGGTTGGCAGTCATACCAATGATGGCATGTCAGGTTGTGGGAAAGAGAAGGTCCCGATCCTGGACTGAAGGCGGGGGAAGCAGAGCCCATTACACTGGCATGAGATACAGCAATCCCAGGGGCATTAAATAACTGACTATTTAAAAGTAAATAAAGAAGAACCCTGGAGATAGTGGCAGATATTAAGTGTATCAGGAATCGCACAATCTATAATACTAAGGCAATTAGGGATTCACCAAGCAAAACATATGACCACAATCCTGTAAGAGAGATAACAGGTTTTACTTTAGAAAAGATAAACATTTTTCTATGATAAACTGGAAACCATGAGTAAGATTATCTCAAAGATGCCAAATTAGGGGCTGGAGAGAGATGGTTCAGCAGTTAAGAGCACTGAGTGCTCTTGCAGAGGACCCAGGTTCCATTCCCAGCACCCACATGGCAGCTATTAACCATCCTTAACTCCAGTTCCAGGGGACTCTGATGCCCTCTTATGACCTCCGCAGCATTGCACAACATGGGTGCACTCACATGCATGCAGGCAATACACTCATACACATAAAAATAATAAATAAAATATATTTTTTTAAAGATGCCAAATTATTAAAACACACACACATACACACACACACACACACACACACACACACACACACACACACACACACACACACAAAAAGAGCACACAGAAAAGAAAACAGAGGAAATGGAGAGAGAGTATATAAAAACACTCACATGTTATATATATATTATACACTATGAAAAGAAATCAGAGGAAATGGCCAGAGAGTTCATAGAAAAACTCCCATGTTTTATAAATATTAGCTTAACTAGTCACCAGAAAATATATAGTCATTAGAAAAATGCTCCTAAAAACAATAAACAACAATTCTAAAGAAATTGGTAGCACAGAAGATTTCACGAGGTTGCTTCTCTCAAAAAGGCTCAGTGGGAGGCCTTGGTTAAATTCAGTGAATCACATATCGAAGACGGGAGTGGAGAAAAGGACTTGGAAAGAGGAAGGGGGTTAACAGCAAAGGGTGGCGATATGGGATAGGGGATAAGAGGAACCAGAAAGCACTGAATACGGGTGTGAAATTACCAAATCAGCAAACTAATGAACGTTTAGAGTGTATAAACTACTTAAGCATTTTAGGAGAGCATTTTATCACTGTCAAGCTTAAATGTTCATCTCTTTTGCCTGCAATAGCCCATTCTAGGGCAGGGCATGCACTGATATCTATGTGAGCTCACGGAAACAGGACTCGGGCAGTGAGGAACCAGAAGCCTGAAGGCCAAGGGGCAGGGTCTGCAGAGTAAGTACTGGTATGTCATGCTGTGGTGTATGACAGGACAGTAAAACACTCAGCATGAACCAACGCATGTTAAAACAAAAGGAGAGCAGGCATTGGCCCACAGAATGCTTCTCCTGTCAGGAAGAGAGCAGGGCAGTTAGTTACAAGTTATCCCTGCAGAGAGAGAATGAGAATTGCAAAGGGTGGGATGGGATGTTTCATATATGATGGGGCACACTCATTTACTGTGCACGAGTCTATGTTTATGACACAGGGAAGCAAGCATTGAGCAAAGGAAAAATGGTAACTTTTCTAGGGTTGGGGATGTGGCTTAGTTTGTTGAGGGCTTGGCCGCCATGCACAGTCCTGGCTTCGATCCCCAGCACCACAAGTAAAACTGATCCTAGAGGCTCACACTTATAATCACATCATTCAGAGTTCAAGGTCACCTTCAGTCTCATAGCAAATTCAAGGCCAGTCTGGGCTACATGAGATCTTGTCTAAAATAAACAAAACAAAACAAAAACCAGTAGGGGCTGGAGAGATGGCTCTGCAGTTAAGAGCACTGGCTGCTCTTGCAGAGGACCCGGTCTCCATTCCCAGCACCCACATGGTGGCTAACAACCATCTTTAACTCCAGTTCCCAGGGATCTGATGCCCTCTTCCGACCTCCACGGGCACTGCATGACACAGGCACACTTACAGCCACGTGCCGGCAATACACTGATACACATAAAATTTTTTTTAAAGTTTTAAAAAGGTAATATTTCTGAACATATAATGTCTGATATATTAATTAGTATATAATTATATTGTATAATGTTGATAAATTAGAGGTTTCAACCCAAAAGGTTATAAAAGAAATAAAGGTAAAAAAGTCTCAGAACATACCCAATACAATAAGAATTATTATATTAGGTCTGCATTTTCTAGAGGAAATGGAAATGAGCAGAATCATATTTCTACTTTTTGTTATCTGTGTTAACATACTTTTGGGATCTCTACCAAGTGCACACACATTCGGTTTTTAAAGATATATTATTTTTTAATTATGTATCTGTGTATCTGTGTGGGGGTATGTACATGCGACTACAGTGCCCAAGGGGGCCCAAAGAGGGACTCAGATTCCCTGAAGCTGTTATAGGCAGTTGTGAGCTGCTCAACATAGGTGCTGGGAACTAACTCTGATCCTCTGCAAGAGCAGTACACACTCTTAACCACCGAGCCATCTCTCCAGACTCCATCAAAGGTTCTTTTTTGGTGACTAATCTCATCCAGGGAATAAACACAAAATTTGTCTGTGGGTACTGTTTAATATTTGAAAAATTTTGGAAAATATTCTAGGTAAAGAGCCAGGCATGGGAGGTGCACACCTTTAACCTCAGCCCCTGGGAGGTAGAGGCACATGGATCTCTGGGAGTCTGAGGCCATCTTGGTCTACATAGTGAATTCCAGGCTAGGTAGAGCCACACGGTGAGAACTTGTTGCAAAAGAAAATTATAGGTAAAAATAGCAAATAAAATTATTATTATAATAAACAGCCAGGGTTCAATGGAACAGAGGGCCACAAATTTCAGATACACAGAAAGAACTAACACCATGCAAAAACTAATCCGTGTGTGCACATACGTGCACACAGGAGGAATAAGCACTGAAGAGTCATTTCTGAAACAGGTGGACCTGTTGATAACTCTCAGACTGGAGTATTTCTGGTGGGCCAGGCAGGAGGGAGCAGGAGGACGGGTTTCAGAATCAACTGGGATCAGTGAGGCGTCCCCCCACTTCTGCTCCACGGAACCCTTCAATCCTGCCTCAGGACGGTCCAAGACAACGTTGCCAAGACCAGGCACAGAGGTACTCAGTGGCCTCCCTGCTTCGTACCAGGAGAGGCCCTCTTTGTTACTCTGATTCAGTGTTTCCTCTTGGAAGCAACTCATCTCCTAACTTGCTAACTAGAGCAAACCCCGTGGAGCATAATTGTTACTCCTTGGGTTCCTTAGCATATATTATAGACTTCATTTCCACACCTCAGATGAGAGACCAATTAACTTCTGAGGATTAGAGCTATAAATGGCTGGTGCCGACCAGTCATTTGTTTTAACATGATTTCCCCACAAAGGTCCTGTCTACCTCCCCTCTTACCTGTAGCTCAAAGTTGGCTTGATCCAGAAATTTCTTGTTCAGCATATCTGCATACTGATTAATCGCACGCAGGAAGACTCTGAAAGATCAAGAGAAAATTACATAATTACACACTTGGGCTCTGGCACCTTTGTGGTTTTGGCATTTCAATTAGATAAGATCCCAGACAGTCTAGAATGGGAAGTCTCCAAGTCCTGTGCAAAGTTGGGAGGTTTTGCCAGAGAAAAGCTCTCAGAATTATACGCAGATGTTCTCCAAATTAATCAAGGAAATTAGCACATGCAGAATGAAAGAAACAGACCAAAGTAACAACTTCTGAAAGTAACATTTAAAATGCATCACAGAAAGAATCTAATTTTTAAAAAAGAAAGAAAAGGTGTAAATAAAATCCTTTCCCAAACTTGCAATGTTTTACTGCTTTGTAATCGAATTATCTTTTTTAGATGGCCTTTTGAATCTATGAATTTGAAAGCGCTCTTTGGATGCAAGTCACCAGGCTTGGAATAGTTTGGTGGAATGTTACTACACTTGGAAACACTGTCTGACCTACACTCTAGTTTCAATCACTGTTCATTTATCAAAAGAAAATTAAAAGACTTTAGAAGATAAGAAAGTGATCTGATAAGAATTTGAACAGGTACTGTGATTGAATCATTGGTCATATACAGTGTGTGTGTGTGTGTGTGTGTGTGTGTGTGTGTGTGTGATTGTGCGTGCGCGCACATGGATGAGGGCCAGTGCACACAGGTGCACAGAGGCCGGAAGAGAACATCAGATACCCTCTTCTATGGCTTTCTGCCTTATCCCCTAAGACAAGGAAGCAGTCTCTAACTGAACCGGGAGCTAGGCTGGTAGCCAGGAAGCCCCAATGATCCTCCTGTAACCCATTCCCCGCTACCATGCTGGGGTTACAGGCATTCAAGGTCATGCCCAGGGTGCTTACACAAGTGGGAGAGATCTGAACTTGGGAATGCACACTGGAACACCACGCACTGTTCTGCACTGAACCATCTCCCCAGCCCCAACAATGTACAATTTTCAGCACATTTCTCAGTACCTTGACTTCTAGTTTTCTATGATGAAATGTGTAATTTGGGCTGTCAGGAAGGACTCTGGAGTGTGGTCTTTTCCCAGCTTGTTCACTCAGTAGCTTGTTTTATAACCCTTGAAAGTGTTGACAATAGTAAAGCTTAGTCCAGCTACTTTGTAAATGGCATCCTCCTTCTGCACAAAGCAAGGATGCAAGAGGAATTAGCATTGGGTCACAGATAATAAACTTAATTACCTTTCCTCATTTAGACAGCAGGAAGCAGCTACACTGTAAGGGAAATCTAGGTTGCTTGCTTGGAACTGCAGCTCTCTGACACTACCTCTTAGCTAAGCATCCTGGTAGGAACCTCCCGGGCCTGCCATCCCAGAGTCACTAAGAGCCAGTGATCCTGGGGGCAAGGAGGGGGAAGGAGACAGCAGCTGCCATGGCACCTCCAGGCATTGCATATAGCTCTGAGAAAGGGGAGGTGTGGGCATCTTCCATCAGGAAGTCTGTCAGCAGGATAGACCCACACAGATGTGCTGCATGCCTGTGGAGGAGTTCGCTATCTCAGTCACTGAACACAGGAGACCGCTATCTGTGTTCTTACCTGGAGACAGAAAGACATAACCAGAAGGGAAGAATGGGTATGGTTTTTTTATAATTTATTATTTTTTATTTTTATGTGTATGTGTGTATCGCCTCTTGTCTTGGGTCGGCATGTGTGTGTGCAGGTAAGCACACCCATGTCGTGCAATGCCCACGGAGGACAGAAGAAGCCATCGGATCCCCTGGGACTGGAGTTATGGACAGTTGTTAGCTGCCATGGGGGTGTTGGGATTCGAACCCAGGTCTTCTGCAAGAACAACCAGTGTTCTTAACCGCTGAGCCATCTCTCCAGCCCAGAATGGGTGTTTTTAAGTGTCTTTTAATGGAGGATCATGGGAATCGCTGCCTTGCCCATTAACCAAGATCCCAGACTGGGCAACAGCATCCATCAGTCAGACTTTGCAAATCTAGGATGCCCAGTTACACCTGAAACATAGCTCTTGTTGCTGAACTCTGTAACTGAGTTAGTTTTTGCTTTAAAATTGGATCCTGGATATTTGGGGCTCCTGATAAATTGTTATAGGATGAATGAAGGGGTAGCACAGAACTGAGGCCACACCTTGCGTACGCAGGACTCTGACTCGCCTCTTGTCTTGGGTCGGCATCTGCCATGCCAGGCTTAACCCTCAGGAGCACAACACATGAGGGTATAAGAAAATGGTCTCCTTATGCATGTGAGTCTTGGCCATCATGTGCAGATACTCCCTGACTTGCTGCAGTAATGGGAACCACAGACACAACAGAACCCTAAATCCTGTTACCACAGCCCAAGAATCCCGAGCTTACAACTATAACGACTTTAATTTTTTCCTTCGGCTTCAGAGTTTGTGTGTTCCCCAGAGTCCTCCATGGTCCTTAAGAGATTTTAGACACTGTCTCCAGCCCTGGATGACAATAATGACGAACTCAGCACAACATGCATTATTATTACAGGGTAATTATTTTGCCTCCAGATAGCACCCAGACAGTTGCAATATGCTACTTCTAATTAAGCTCTGGGACAATTTCAGCTAGTTAAATAAAGATATTTCTCAAAATGCCCCTGTTTTAAAGAAAAAAAGCCATGTCAAGCTGAAATGATATGAAGGCTGAACAAAAACTTTTTAATGAACTGTCAGCTGAGAGAGAGCAGCACTGAGAGGCAGGTTCTATAATTTAGATCCCCCATAAATTTTTAAAAATCCAGGGTAAAAAAACCAAATAACACAGAATGTAAGTTGTATGAGGAAAACCAGGGGAATGATCAAGTAAAAATCATAATCAATGCCATAAACAAAGACCAGATGGAACATGAGTTCTGTGCATTAGGGTAGAGTGAGTGGCCCAGACCCATCTGGGACAAGCGTAAATAATGTCATACAATTCACAGCTATGAAAGCCCTGCTATACTTCTGAGTCTTTCTCAAGATAAATCAATTAGCTAACTAGGCAAAAACAAAAACAAAAACATGAAACCATAAACAGAGACTATTTTAGGTAAGGCAATGTATTAGTACATATAATTTATGTTATAATTTGTAAGTTTTTTCTAATGAATAATAACCAGGGAGCTTAAATAAAGACAATCACATTAGAAGCTTCTGCATCGCAGTTGTTTTTGACCACAGATGGGTATGAAGAGAACCATGCATCACGCCTCACCAGACTACCTGCGATGAAAGGGTTCTGTCCCACAGCAAGATCTAGGTTAGTTTGGAAATGATCACAGGAGGGTGGATGTTGGGTGGATGGCTGGTTGGATGGATTAGGTGATCCTGCATCTGTTCAACACTATCGGTGGGCTTAGAGTTAAGCAATCACTGTCCCTTCCCACCATGAGTAAACAGTTTTACTGTTTGTGGTGGTTGGGTGGCTAGATGGATGGGTGGTGAGTGGATGGAATAGATGGATGGATGAGTAGGTGGGCAAATGGGTGGATGGATGGCAGATGGTCAATGGATGGTGAATGGATGGGTGGTGAGTGCTTGGAATAGATGGATGAGTAGGTGGGCAGATGGGTAGGTGATTTGTGGGTGAATGATACACGAGTGGGTGGATGGACGGGTGTGTGGGTGTCTAAGTGGATGGATGGATAAGTAGGAGGGTGGATGAATGGGTGGGAGGACAAGTGGATGGACAGATGGATAGGTAAGCGGGTGATGGGTGGGTAAATGGATGGACAGGTGGATGGATTGGTGGATAGATGTATGGATGGACAGGTGGGTGGATTGGTGCATAGATGTATGGATGGACTGGTGGGTGGGTGAGTGGATGAATGGATGAAATGGCTTAGAAGACCTCGGTCTGACTCACATTGGAGGCTGAAGGAGATTGAAGTAATTTGGTCATTTCTGGCTGTCCCTGGCTTTCTAAGTAGATTTTCTACAGCAGGGTTTGATTCTCTTTAGGTTCCTGCCACCCACGTTTCTGATGAGGCACCTGGAAGCTGTGGCCAGGCTTTGCTTCATCTTTCTCCTCTTGGCCTCCAGAGCTCGTTCCTTCTCTCTCCTTCCCACACTAAGAGCCCCACGGTATCCAGGTGGACTCCTAACTGCCATGTGTGTTCTGAAATGCTCTGCTCCAAAGACCATATATTTTCAAGTGCACTAACAGATGTCTCCGAGCCAAGGTGAATGTTAGAAGTGTCATCAGCCCAAACAACAATTCCCCATTTCTCAGCTTGCTCCAGGACAGATGAATAGAGGCCAGGCAGATAGAGGAATACATGGAAGGAGGAAAGAAGGCTCAGAAAGGAAGGTGCTGCTTCTCGTTCTGCACAGCTAGTGCTCAGGGAAACCGTTAATCACCAGGCTGAACCAATCAAAATTTGACTTCTTCAGGGCCTGGCATATTAGGATGTAACTTCTAAACTCTGAGCTAATGGCTTGAGAATTTTTCATGGATGATTTCCAAAATGGTTCAAATGATTAAGAAAAGGGGTAAGCTTACATTTAACAGAGTTCTTTTCAATCATTTTTAATCTATGGAAGGATTTATTTACAATCTAAAACGTTAGAAGATAAAACCCTACACAGAGATAAATAATACAGAGAGAATCAGAGGCAAATCATGTCATCCTAAAAAGATTAAAAAATGTCATCAGGTTGAGAGCCAGAAAGTTTTATTTCCAAAGGTCCAATGGAAAGAAAACAATCTCCGGGTGCTTGGTAACCTGGTCCTGTGTCCAGGAAGTCAGAGTAGCAGGCCTCCAACTTGCTATAGCAATGCGTGTGTATGTGTGGTGTGTGTGGTGTGAATGTGTGGTGTTCAGAGACAACCTGGGGTGCCTGTCCTCAGGCGCTTTTCACCTGTTCTTTGAAACAGGGTCCCCTATTGACCGGGTACTTTGCCACGTAGGTTAGGTTGGGCTGTCTGGCCCACAAGTGTCCAACTATCTGCTTGTCTCTGCCTCCCATCTTCCATTGCTGGGCTTACATGTAAGGGTAACCATCCCTGCTGGT